TTCACCTGGTACCAGTCTAATGGGAACAGTATGAGCAGAATAGACAGATTTCTACTATCGGAAGGGTGGTTGACAAAGTGGAGTGAAGCCAGACAGTGGGGCCTTAGTAGAACAGTGTCAGATCATTGTCCAATCTTGCTCAAACATAAGATATTGACTGGGGGCCTAAGCCATTTAAGTTTTTCAATGCATGGTTTCAACAAGAAGGTTGCATGGAGTTGGTTAAAGAGGTGTGGGGGTCGGCAAACATTCAAGGATGGGTAGGGTTTCAACTTAAGGAAAAGCTGAAATTGACAAAGAAAGCTTTGAAAAGGTGGAGCAAAACACTTCTCCCAGTTATTGATGCCAAAATAAACAAGGCTACTATAGAGATAGCACAAATTGATAAGAAGGGGGAAGAGGTACAACTGTCGGAGGAAGAAATCATAAGAAGAAGAGAGGATTTCCTACTTCTATGGGAAAGCATGAAGAGCAAGGAAAGTATGCTACAGCAGAAATCTAGAAAGGCATGGTTGAATCTCGGTGACGCCAACACAAGTTTCTTTCACAAGTGCATCAAGGGGAGATGGAGAAGAAATGAAATGACTTCTATACAAATCAAAGGAACACAAATTGTGTGTGCCAGCAGAATGAAGGAGGAGATTGCTTCCTTTTTTGAAGACATATTCAAAAAAGAACAGTGGGACAGACCAAAGCTAGAAGGGGTGAGCTTCAAGCAGATTTCACAGTTAGAAAATGACCATCTGGTTGGAGCTTTCAGTGAGGAAGAGATAGATGCAGCGGTGCGGGAGTGTGACAGTTCAAAGGCGCCTGGACCAGATGGATTCAATTTTGACTTTTTCAAGAATGTGTGGGAGCTAATAAGGGTAGATGTAATCAGATTCTTGCATGAATTCCATAAAAATGGTAAGCTAGTTAGAGAACTTAACACATCTTTCATTGTCCTTATACCAAAAGTGGATAACCCACAAAAGATAAAGGAATATAGACCCATCTCCCTCATTGGCGTAATGTATAAAATCCTTGCAAAGCTTCTTGCTAACAAGTTAAAGGTGGTCCTTGATGGGAGTGTCGGTGAACAACAGATGGCATTTATTAGAGGAAGGCAACTAATGGATGGAGTAGTGGTAGCAAATGAGGTGATTGATGATATAAAGAAGAAGAGGAATGAGACATTCTTGTTCAAGATCGACTTTGAAAAGGCGTATGATAAGGTCAGCTGGGAATTCCTCGACTATATGATGCAACGGATGGGATTTTGTGTAATCTGGAGGAACTGGATCATGGAATGTCTGAGAACAAACCTTGTATCAATTCTGGTTAATGGCAGCCCAACTAGGTAGTTTACTGTGACGAGAGGACTCAGGCAAGGGGACCCCTTATCACCCTTCCTATTTTTAATAATTGCAGAAGGTCTTAATGGACTGGTTTCAGCTGCATCTCAGAAAGAGTTATTGGATGGAGCAAAGGTGGGGAGCAGAGGTTTTAAAGTTTCTCACCTACAATACACGAACGACACAATTCTCTTTGCTAAAGCTAAAGAGGAAAATGTGTGGGCAATGAAGGGTGTCTTGAGAGCTTTCGAACTAGTCTCGGGCCTAAAGATAAACTTCAACAAAAGTCATTTGATTGGCATACATGTGCAAGAGGGCTGGCTCAACAAAATGTCATGGGTGCTTTGCTGCAAAGTTGGGGTTTTTCCATTTAAATATCTGGGCATCCCCATTGGAGGAAGCAGTAGAAAGAAGGCCTTTTGGAAACCGCTAGTGAAATTATTTTCTAAAAAACTGTCTACATGGAAGGGTCGGTACTTATCTTTTGGTGGACGGATTACCCTTATTAATTCAATGCTATCCAGTCTTCCTGTGTTCTGGATGTCAGTGTATCTCATCCCAAAAGGTACGATTCTTTCACTTGATAAAATTCATAGAGGTTTTTTATGGGGTGGGGCTACAGGAGAAAAGAAAATAAAATAAATTGGGTGAAGTGGGAACAGGTCTGCAAAGATAAAAAACAGGGTGGTTTGGGGGTTAAGGATTTGAGAAAATTTAATATAGCCCTATTAGGAAAATGGTGGGGGAGGATAGTCATGGCAGATAAAGGGCTCTGGAAAAAGGTTATTGTGGAGAAGTATGGTCGGGTAGGGGAACCAAGCTTCAATTGGTTGAGGGAGAACATGAATTTCGGCTCATCTTGGTGGAGGGATTTAAGTAGATTGAATGATATTGACAAAGAGAAGAAAGGATGGTTAGTGGATGGGCTGGAATTAAAACTAGGGGAAGGGGTAGACATTAGTTTCTGGTGGGACAAATGGAGTGGGGATGAGTGTTTAGCTAACAAATATCCTAGACTTTACTTGTTATCTACAGGAAAGGACTATAAGATCTCACAAATGGGAGGTTGGCACAATGACATTTGGAAGTGGAGTCTACAATGGAGAAGGTCCCTATTTAGCTGGGAAGAACCTCAGGAACTGGAGCTCCTAAAGGAGATTAACGAGAAAACAATTGCAAGAGGGAGACCAGATCAAAGGATATGGATTCACAGTAAAGATGGTAGTTATACAACCAAATCAGCATACCAGATACTTGCAGCAGAACACAGAAACAACCAGCAGGGGTTGGCTCTACAAAAAGTATGGAATCTACTTATACCGAGTAAAATCTCAGCATTCTCTTGGCAATTGCTACAAGGTAAAATTCGAACCAAGGATAATCTGATGAAGAGAGGCATGATTCAGGACCCAGGCGAGTGCAGATGAGAATTATGTGGTGCAGGGGAGGAAAACTCCAGCCACCTTTTTGTTCAGTGCAAAGTGGCGCGTGATCTATGGACAGCTTGCTACAAATGGTGGGGAATTAAAACAGTAACTGATAGAGATTGCTGGAGATTTTTTGAACAACATTCCAGTATGCTGGGAACAGTGGGGGTGAAGCAGGGATGGGAATGTATATGGTTTGTAGTGATATGGACAATTTGGTTGTCTAGGAATGAAAAATTGTTTAGGGGGAAGGAGGTGGATAGTGGAAGGTTATTTGAATTGGTCCAAATCAGGGCCTTTAGCTGGATTAAGGGCAAAAGGAGAGACTGCTTTTTCTCCATAGCTGATTGGATCCAGAATCTTGCAAACTGTTTGAGCATTAATCGCAACAGTAGAAGGTATCTCTAGAGAAAGCCATCGGAAATGGAGGTGGAGCTGTGAGTGAAGGAGGTGAAGGAGGTCAAGATCATGTAATCTGATTGGTTAATTATATTACTGCCTGGTTGAAAAATCACTGTTGGATCAAAAAGGTTTCTTTGAGCAATTTTTGACTGCAGATTATGTGCCTGAAGCAATAATGGTCTTTGGGATTCTAAGTGGTAGTCAAGGCATGCTCAGTGAAGGTACGTGATAGTGGGGTGATAGCTGGAATGGTTTTCATGATCAGTATGGTGATTGATAAAGTTTTTGCATCAGAAGGTAGAAAGTTCGACACGGGTACAGTGCCGACACACTGGATCTGGTGTCGACACTATATAGCATGCACTGAAATTTCCGACACGGACGTGGTGTTGGCACATACTTCAGAGGTCGACACCATACGGAAGGGTTGGAAATTGTTTGGCTTTCAAATTGTCGAGTTGATGAGTTGAGGTACCTCTTGTACTCCGTTTATTAATAAATAAAATAATATTTTTTCTGTTCAAAAAAAAAATTACAAAGCTTAAGTAACGTTATTTGCACAAGCAGTTTCATCTTGAATAACATCAATTAATCATCAGAAAACTTTAAAAAAAAAAAAAAAAAAACAAAAGGATTGATAATTATGAGACAATAAAAGTTAATATTGATTCTTGCACTTAAACCTAAGAAGTATTTGTTGACAGTGGTTTTATCTTCTCCAACAACTTCTCGGCTTCAATAAACCGGCCTAATGGCCCCAAAGATATATATTTTATATGTTTCCATCTGTTCAAACTCTGGACGGATTAAACCAG